CTGGCTGCTTCTTCTTCAGCAGCTTTTCTGGCCGCTTCTTCTTCAGCAGCTTTTCTGGCCGCTTCTTCAGCAGCTTTTGTGGCTGCTTCTTCTTCAGCAGCTTTTCTCGCCGCTGCTTCTTCAGCAGCTTTTCTGGCTGCCTCTTCTTCGGCAGCTTTTGCAAGAGCTACTGCTGCAACTGAAGGTACGCCTGCAATTGTTCAGTAGCACGGTGTTGTTTTTTGCTTGTGGCTGTAGGTCCTATTCACACGGTATCATGTCATTCTTCCAGCGTTGTCATGCACATGTCGCCCTGTTGATGTGAACTGGAACTCACACCAGCCTAATATATTAGATCCTAGATTCCAAATGACCAGGGGTTGCCCCTCACGATATCCTACATGTTTCTTGGACTTGGTTTCATCGCCTGCACCTGCATCGGCCGCGCGGGCCTTGCAAAAAAGCAGCCGATCACAGGGGGCCGATCCAAAGCTCGCATGCATCACCAGTGTCGAAACAAAACCCTATCAACCAGCCATCAGGCTCTCTCATAAAAATAAGTTGCAGAGGAGATTCTCCGTTTCGACGTTGAAAGTCTTCCTGTCCAATGACTGGCCGGCCCTGGAGGTTTGACTTCACCGGAGGGGCCATGTCTGACACCTCCCCACACCGGAATTCAAGCCTGCTTGAGCGCCTGCAACGGCGGTCGTGGACTTGACGAGCCCACTAGCGATGGCCTCCACCCTACTAGAAATGGTCTCCAAGAGCGATGGCCTCCAAGCTAAGAGCAATGGGAGCTGCTTGTCAACTTGTCTATCAATGAGTTGCTTCTATGTCCGTTTCATCTGGGTTTGATCCCGGCCCCGGTTTCTTCCTACCAAACTATTCAACCTGAAATGAATATATATAATATAACTCTATTATAATTCATTCTAATTCTATGTGTTTTGCGCCGTCTTTGAACCTTCTTTGCAAAGCCTGAGCCTGGTGCTGTTGATCGACAAGCTCAGGGTCCTGCAGCACCTCAAATGCCTTTAGATCTCAGACTGCACCAACTCTCCTGAGTAGTGAGTGATGGACATGGCACTTCATGGGCACCAACAACCGGCACGCGCTCTTGAGCGCGGCATTCCCATCCTCTTGAGCAAGATCCCCTCAGCGGGATCAAAGCCATGCTTCATCCCAAGCGGCGCCTCTCGCTCTCGCTCCTGTGCAGCTCGCAATGCCGCCCCTGTGCGCGTGGGAGATGAAGAGGGGCCCGCTCAGGTGAAGCGGAAAAACACCTTCTTGACCTGCGGTCCCTTCAGGGCAAAGATTTCAAGACGCCTCAGTGGAATTCCCTCCGGCCTGCTTCCCATCCCAAATGCAAGACAACCACCATGAACATACTCCAAACCACATGACAGCTTTGAACCATAATGTCCAAGACACAAGCGGGGCCCCCGCGGCTGCAAAGAGCCAGAAAACAGATGTAACATCATTCAAAACCACTTGCCATGGACCTGTGCCACCGTGCGCCCGTGTCTGCCACACCTGGCCTAGGCCCAGATCCTTCAAGACCTCCTCGACCGACTCGCAGGCGTTCCGGCCTCGAAAAGCCCTTTCCGACTGAACATGAGGCTTTTAGTGATCCCCAAATAGAGAGGATGGCGCGGTTTCCAATACATCCCGCACGTGGGGGATCGAGGCTTCCGGGGTCCTTTTCTCTTTCGCCCGAGGTCGGCGAGAAAACGAGGTCGCCGGTGTCGGCTCCAGGGCCCCCCCGGCAGCCCTGAAGCCGAGGGTCGGAGGCCCGCTCCGGTGACAGCCTGCCGTTCAGTGTCTGAAGGAGCACGCTGGCTGTGCCCGGAGAAGAAGGGAAAGATGTCACATCTAGTTCTTCGCTCTCCTATCCGTCATCACCACTAAATACCAGTGTTTCCGCTTCTCACTGTTCAATTCAGGGATTCAGAGGCCTGCAGCAACACGCACAAAAAGAATCAAAAAGAGGTACTCAGATAGCACGCGCTTTCAACAGGCATCCAGCATCCACACAAAACAACAGGTTAGCCAGTAGAAGAGCTTCCAGCTCGTCAAGTTGTGTGATCTTCTTAGGAGTGGTGCTTTGAGGATGGCCGTTGTCAACTATGGACATATGGACACTACTTCCCTTCGCCCATCCCAGTACTCATGTAAAGAAGTGTGCAGTGCTCGACCTGTGGAGTACCTTGAAACGATGGTCCTTCCGAAAGCGAACCAAAAGAACGAGAAGTCTTCTCTTCTCTCAACACCAGCTTTAACTTTAACGCTAGCCTGGCAGCTTCCAAGACCGCGCAGACTTTGGCAGTGCGTTGGCAGCTGCCACCTCTGACAAATGTGTGGTGGCAAAGCACATGCTGTGGGGGGTGAGGAAGGCGGTGGTCACGATTCAATCCAAACAAGTGGGATGGACCCCGACAATTGTACAACCTTGGGCAAGAAAATGTTCCTGTGTGAGGGTTGACCAGTAGTTCTGTGATCTGGCCCCATCGTCACAATCAATGCCCTGTCGCTGACCAGCTGCAACCTTGACCAACAAGAAGCGATTCGACACTCAGCATCACCTCCAGCTCTCTTCTTCCTCAACATCACCGCTACTAGTAGCAAGGACACTACTGGTAGCTCCTGGCCGTACTACTAGGAGCAAGGACGCTACTAGGGGCTCCTGGCCTTACTAATTGCTAGTAACACGAAGCTACTAGGAACAAGAAGCTACTAGGTTAAGTGTAGGAACATCACCGCTGAGATGGGTCTCCAAACCGAAGACCTCCTTCAGCCAATCGCGGCTTCGGGAGATCAACGCCGTCGTCAAGAGGTCCCGCACCTCGCGCCAAGTGCAGGTGCGTGAAGCATTGGTGGGTTGAAAGGCGAAGCAAAAGGTGAAGCAAGTAAAGCCCATCACGCGAAGACTGCGCGTGGGAAGCTTCTTGTTTTGGTCAAGATGTGCGTACGCACGAGGGTATGCTCATGTATGTTCATTGTAGGGTGAGTCTGATGGACTTTGGGCGAAGCTACCGTGGTTTGACCAGAGCTATCCACCAAAGCCACCAGGATCTATCCACTTGACCACAGGTGAACGACCCTATCACCCTTAGCAACTGGCATCATTCACTGTTTCTGGGAACGGGACAGCTGATGCCCTTGCTGCCTGCTTCATGCAACACCTATTGGTTCAAAAGTCAATTCCCTGTTGGCTGCTCCTTTTCATAGGAACAAGGACGCTACTAGGGGCTCCTGGCCATACTAAGAGCAAGTAGCAACTAGGAACTCCTGGCATCTCATAATCATAGGTGGAGGTGCCATGAACACCCTCCTTGCCCTTCACCAGTGGGGCTCCCCTTGTCTCACTCCGCTCTTTCTTCGCACAGCAGGCGTAGAAGTTGATGGTTCCGGTGAGGCGTAGGGGGCGCCCGATCGTTCGAGCTACTTGCGAAGAACCCATGCACAACCATCAAACCCTGGTTCCGACCTAGAAGATGGTGACACGGCCACTGCTTTCCATGTCAGTCAGCATGCTCAGCATGAAACATAGATCACAACCTTACAGTCACCAAGCCATACACATCCAGGGAGAAGTTAGGCCGAACAAGTGCATTACTACTAGAAGCAGGAAGCTATTAGGTTGGAGGTTAGAGGCCATCGCGATTAGGTTGGAGGCCATCCTATTATTAAATAACTTTCCCTAAAAATCTAGGAACCAAATCATTCGCACGAGCTATCCTGCGTCCACTTACTAGTAGCTTAAGTAAGCTACTAGCTACCTCTACCTCTCCCTTACTTAATTAAGTAGGCGCCTACTTAATTCAATAGACAGCGCGGGGGAGCGGGCCAAAAGAAAGGGATAACCGGCATTTAGTTTGCAAGACCATGAGACACTCAAATCGGATTTTTTTGAGTTGCATGACTTGTTGGTGGTCTGTTAAACAACTCCGATGATCACCTGAGATATGACTTCTGGCTCGTGTTGCTCGAAGCTTTGAAGAGATCGGGCTTCCGCGTTCGGCCGACCGGGCGACGACCAGAAGGGGAAACGCCGGACCGCAAAGCTGGTCCGGGTCCAAGTGACATTCCCCTCGAAAGGTTCTCTCGATTGGGCAGAAGGAAGGCAGAAATCAACGGATTGAAACACATGGGTGACCGAGCAATGACCAGGCTGACCTCGAACGTTAGTCTGAAACCTTGCTAGGAATATCATTCTTTCACTTGTCTCAAAGAGAAACAGGCAATAATCTATTGAATTGAATTCCACGACACTTTCTGGAGCAGAATGCCAGCGGCGAAGGATATCAAAGGCCTGGATAACACGACATATGGGACGCGGCCATGGCACAAAACATGTGATTCTAGTAAACCTGTGTGTTTCTGGTCTCTCCTTCGCAGTCAGGACTTTAAGCCTCCAAGCCAGGTCTTGTGGACCAACCGCTGTGTTCATCGCTTCATCTCTGCCCTTCAAAGCCAACAGCTAGCTGCTAATCTTCTTGTGGAGGGCATTGCCGTCTCCGCAGTTGGGGAAGACCACTGAATTGCCAAACATGGCCAATCTTCGTCCTGCTCTTCAACTACCTCCTCTCCAAGATGTCCAGTGACCCTTAGATTTAGTCTTCCTGTATTTTCGGCTTTCGCATCTCTTCAAACCCTAAGCTGCGGCGGCACCGGCGGCCCTAAGCCTGGCTCTTGCGGATGAGACTGTCCTCAGCCGTTTCGGCTTGCCACCGAAGCTTCGGGTCCTCTCGCTGCAGCTGACGCTTCCAAGCCTCGGGGCAGCGAGGCACAGTGTGGCACAGTGACACCGGTCTTTTCGAACATCAAGCCCCTAGTAGCGTCCTTGCTCCTAGTAGCGATGCCCTTTGTTCCTAGTAGCTTCTTGCTCCTAGTAGCTTCTTGTTACGAGTAGTAAGGCCAGGAGCCCCTAGTAGCGTCCGAAAGACATAAATTGACATAAGCAACAGGCTTAGCTTGAACGAGTTGGACGATTCCATGTCTAACCAAACGGGATTCTACCGTACAAAAGTGCTTTGAACCACCGAGGTAGGGGACTTTCAGTGGCTTTCTAAGCTTTCCCTATCAACGTCACCACTATGGTGGCCGTCACCAAGTCCACCACCCATGAAAACCACCCAAGCAGTTCAACCCCGCCTTCCAACGTGTTTGTTGGTGTAAAAAGTGCCAAGGCAGGGCATGAAATGCAGTGCCGGCATTTCCAAGTCTGTCTGCAGATTTGAAGGACCAGGGTGAATACTGCTCTAATCTGCTATAGCTTCACCAACCCTCCAAGGTCTTATTCACCAGATGACCCCTCACCCCCCACCGCATGATGCTGAACTCCGACCACCGACCAGAAAACACGACCAGGCCACATCCAAAAGCGCGCGGGAGAACTTGTGCTTCTCTTGGTCGTAAGCTTCCCTCATTTTGCGAACCCCGGGATGGCGCGGTGGCGGGAAGGTCGGAATCGTAACCAGAGCTGGTGGAATACGGTGATGGCCTCCAACCTAAGAGCAATGGCCTCCAACCTGGAAGAGATGGCCCCTACACCTAGATGAATACGGTGATGCACAGGGTCATTTAGAGTGATTCAGTGCTTGCGACTTTGGGGACGAGGGTGAGATGATTCGATGACCTGGTGTATTTCTGCAGGGGCTAAGTGTGAGTTCTTGCTGAAGAGTGCCGGACGTTGATTCAGCAAAATCACAGAAAGCACCATCAACTCAGTGTTAGCTGCAATAGATGTGCAAATTCCTGCAAGACCTTGTTTCAATTGGGCTCAGCTACGCCCGGATCCCATGATCCATGGGGGCGCCCCTGTGCCAGCCATTTCTGGCTTCGAGGATCTTCGTGAGCTTGGTGGTTGCTTCATCCACCAACTCCAAGGGGTACCCCGTCTGCATGGCAAGGACCTGCACCTTCGCCGCCTGCTCCAAGTAGTACAAGTCTTCCTTGGAGGATGGACCGGTCTCCCAACTTGCCACCCTTCCTTTTAGCAGAAATTGATGACTTCCTATCGCTATTCAGGCATACTGCGGCAATCCCTAGTGACATGGAGTTCAAAGCATCGAACCCAAGCGAGTGTCGAAGGCTTCAGCCACAGTGCGCCCGCACACGAAGACCCCGTGGTGCTTCTGCAAACCCACGCGCTTCCTTGGTCGAAGTCGGAACCGCCCTGGTTCCGGGCGACGGTGATGGGGATGGCCCAGACCAATGACACAGACCTCACTGAAACAGCGCATTCATTGGAGGACTTGTCACACACCAGTGCCCGTTTACGGGTATCTTTGTCCGTCTCTGCCAATGCAATGCTTCCCCTACCTTCGAGAAAAACACACGTCGGATAGAGACGCGCGCCGCCTTTTCCAATGCCACCGAGGGACATCGGGAAGAACATGAATGTGACGACACGCCCAAACAGTTAGTGGGTACAAAACGCGTGATGAACGAGCAAAGTACTATAAGCCTACCCCGGCTTGGACAACATCATGCATGAAGACATCTGGAGTATGAAGTTCATCCTTTATTGTTGCCTCCCTAGGATTCCTCGCTATGATGGGATGCCCCTTTCAGCTCGTTTTGCTCCACATGATTCCCTTTCGGTGCCCCTCTTCATCCGAAGGGCTCCTTGAGGGCCGCCGCCAAGCGATTGCCCTCCTGTGCAGGTTTCGGCCACGGAGTCAGAACCCCAAGAGGGTTGGAACTCCTCATGAAAGACTGGCTTTAGTCCATGGCTTTCATCCCTAATAGGTTGGAGGCCATTGCTACTAGGTTGGAGGCCACGGCTAGTAGGTTGGAGGCCATGGTTTTGATTATTCCTAACTTTGGGATTCGCCAATTGGGATTTCCATCAAAAGGCTGCTTTGGTGGCTTGCGATGGTCGTCTTAGAGACCAGCGGGTGTGTGAGACAAGGATTTTGCCATCGGATTCACTGCGCTGCGGTGTGAAACATGGTGAAGGCAGGTGGAAGACCCAAGCAACTTCTGCCAAGAAACCACTCAAACGATTCATTCAGTTCTTGTACACTTTTTCCACTTAGAAATCATCTCCCAAAGAGTCACTTGCGTGCCACTGAGTGGCGGGGAAGAGCCATGGCGAATTGGATTCAAGGAGTTCTGACCATACGAGCGAAGCCCGGCAAGCCCGGCAACCATGAGTGTGGGAGAGGTGTACCGTTAGTACGGCACATGGACTATGCCAACGTTCTGCACTTTCTAGCCCCTCCGGGTGAAGTAGGGTCCAGCCGATCCGATTGTGGCAGAACCTTTCCACATGCCTCTGGATCCAACACAAGGCCCTTGTAGACGTCGTCATAGGCCACTTCATTCCAAAAGCGCAGAGCGTTCTGGCTACCTTTGCCGAAGGATCTGATTTTGGAAGGGTGAAAGGCATAAAAGAAACGCTGTCTACATGGAGAGGTCATCGCTACTCAGGTGGAGGCCATCGCTAGTAGGGTGCAGGTCTTTCCTATTGTATAGGTTGTAGTTCTTGTTGACCAACCTGTTCTTTTGATCTTCAGCGACTCATGCCCCATCAGGCAATCGGAGGACCATGGACACTTCGATACGAGTGCGATGGGTTCTTGGAATCACGCACGTATCTGTCACCATATGTCACCAATCACTATTCCCTCGCGGTGAGTTGAGAAACTATCACTGGAATCATGACCGAACTCTAATACAGGGTTGTGTTTCGTAGAGGACAGTGAGCATCAGTAGTGACAGGATGATCTTTATGTGAACCTACGGAGCTCATGTCCCACATGCGATGAGGGAAGAGTGTACAGCAAACCGGAAAAACACTTCACATGCGGGACGTGGCCTCCCAAAGGCCTGAACACAGGGGCTGAGGTCACATTGCTTGCATGGGCGTGGCTGAGGAAGCCGAGGGTCACATCTGCAGTCGATCCGAGTTAGGCCTCAGCTGGAAGGGGACTCCGCTGCTACGAGAGCCAAAGGAGCAAACAGTGGGGGGTGGACACAGAAGATTTGTTTGTCACTCTCGCAAAAATGGCGGGGCAGCTACAAATGGAGTCTAGATAGAGATAGCTCCTACCACTCATGGATGCATATGTTGGAGGCCACCGCTATTGGGTTGGAGGCCATCGCTATTAGGTGGGAGGCCATTGCTATTAGTAACTCAACATGTTTTTTTCTGTTTGGAATGCAGTTTAATCGGTTTGCGTGATGTTCCATGTTGGGTACACGGGCCAGCTCAGCGCACTGTTGGGTTCAAGTGGATGCACGTGATCCATTCCGTTTCAACTGGTTCTCAACTCTTAACTTGAGAATTTCCTGTCTGAGAGTCGGACGCCAAAGCAACTAGGAGCAAGGACGCTACTAGGGACTCCTGGCATCGCTACTAGGAGCAAGGACGCTACTATGGAAAGTTGGTTTTAGGAACTGCTATGTGGCTCTCACCCTGCTCTCGTGCCGCCACAGCGGCAGTTTGCTCCGGTCGATGCAGCATAAAGCGGTGCTATAGGGCATGTGCGTGTGCAAGACAGCCGCCTTATTCCTCGGTGTCGCATCGGCCCAGTGTCTGGACGGATCAGCTGAACAAATGCCCCCCCCACGGCCAAGGTGACCTAGCCTTTGCGGGCAATTGGCCAGATTGCATATCGAAATGCTTTAAGGGAATGCTTCCACCCTATGACTGCCTGTGCACTTATGACATGGAGGTGCACCGATGTTGAGGAGGAAAGGAGCCCCAATGTCTGGATCTGCTTATATTTATCAAGTACCTTTGGCCATCGGCCCTTCTCATCTGCATTTCGTCTAACAAACTTGTGACCTCACAGCAGCGTTGCAAACCAGCATGTTCTGTCATTCTTCAAGATTCAACTGAGGCTGTAAAGTTCGAGCATGAAGTTCAACCCCAAGCGACTTTCCTAGCTGAGGAGCACGAAGTTGGGCAAGCCTGGACCCGACACGGTCTTCCGACGGTCAAGATCGATACTGCCCCGGTCTTGCTCCGAGCGTCGGAGAACAGTGGTGAATGGCACGATGGATCTCAAAGGCAGAAGTCTCCACCTCAGACGGCAACGGACGACGTTCAGCTGCAGCTGCAAACGAAAAGTAAGTGCTCGGAGTTCGAAGACAGTCATTTTCTGGCGCCATAGATTTTCCATCACCAGCCCAGTCTGGTTGCAAAGGATTGATGCATTGACAGTCGCTCATCCATACTAGAGCCCATGACGTTTGAAGCAATAACATCAAATGAACCTGAACATTGTTTGACCGGTTGGCTTAGAGATTGATGGGGGCTAATGTGAGTTGGCGCGGGTGCTGTGTCGAGAAAAAGCCTGCTGGAGCAACACGAAGTGTGACTAAGTGGAAGTTTGCCGGATTGGCAAGCTTATTCAGAAATGCCGGCAGCAAGTGGTTTGACTCTGGGGTGGTTTAGCTTGAGGAACCTGCGTGATCATAGAGCCAAAAGATCTCTTTCACTCCCAACGACCGGATGCCGAGACAGCCGGTAGCCGAGGCACAAAGCCTTTGCCTGAGACCACCTGACCTCAGGATCTGCCGGCATCTGGATTGTTTATCTACCTTTTTGGCCTCGATCCTGACACCCTGTCGGCGACCGAGCTGAAGGGGAGCCCGTGAAGAAAGATTCGCCCCAGGGTGTTCTGAAGGTCTCGTTCGCTCCGACGACGCTTGGGATCCCTTTGCGGTTTGAGTGGTGAGCTTTCTACTATGGTTTTTTGGTTTGAGAAGGGCCACCGGCCTCCCTCTACACACATGGTAAAGTGTTGCACCTGCCATGATGGAACGTTACCCTCTACACACAGGCTGACAAGCTCTGGTTCCGCTCCTTAAGGGCGTCAATCAATGGGATATCAAGGGCAATATGCTGGAACCAGAACATACCAACAAGCAAACGTCCTGTTTTGGAGGCTGGATGGCTCGACCTGTGAACCAAGGACAGACCAAGTTGATGGTCCCGACAAGCAACCCCAATTCCTGGATCCCAAACCTCAAACCTACACCGCCCCCGCGCACGCGCGAAAAGGTCCTAGTAGTTTCTTTTTTCAATTCTAATTAACTTTAGATCAAACATATTTCGCATTCTATTGAATTCTTGTTAATAGCTTCCTGCTAGTAATGCGAGGAGCCCCGAGTAGCGTTCTGGCTCCTAGTCACCATGGGACCGTTCCAGGTCGCCCGAGCGCTCCTCGCGCCGTGGAGACCGAGGGTCCCTTGGAGTCGACGACGACCAAGTTCTCAGGGGTCACCTCTGACCACAGCAGACCGTAAGGAATCACCTCGGCCGCACCCAAACGAGGCTCGTCGCATGAACGGGGCACACACAGAGCTCACAAAAGGTGAGCCAACGAAGACCGTGAAACATGTCTGGTGAGGAAGAAGGAAGAGATGCCAACAAACATAACAACACCTACCGTTGACAAGCGGGCAGTGGTTGTGGGGCAGCTCGAGTGGAAGAGCCGAATCGGACTTGATAGAAGAAGGGCTGGGCTATACATGGCTCACGAAAAGGTATGTGGGTTGCAAGCATGTCGTGTGGGACATCCTTGCAATGAAACCTCACTGGTCAAACCCTCAAGCAAAGGGACCTTCTGTGCTTCTCCAACTGTAGCCCCAAAGCCAACTTATGAGGCTGCCAGGCATCAAAGAGCTGAAACAATCAGCCTCTCACCAAGCAATTCTAGAGAGCTGACATTTCATTGACATCGACATGGACTAGACCCCGATTTGGGCAACCACGCGCTCTGCGGACCCCTCTTCCACTCAGCCTACAACAAGCCAGTGCCATCTGCGGCTATCAGGGATGGGTTTTCTGCATCCATGTGTACAGTCTTGGTATTCGAGTATTCCATGCTACTAGGAGCAAGGACGCTACTAGGGGCTCCTGCTCCTGGCCTTACTACTAGGAGCGGGCCCCAGTCGTTCCAAAGATCCGTGAGCACCTTCCTTGTGGATGCGCAAAGTGCAACATGTTCCCACGCTCAGCCAGCTGTGAAAGACACTCCGTCCCAACAAGTTGTGTTCTTTTCTCAAAGCTCCATGGGCAAAAACGCTACTAGGGGCTCCTGACATCGCTACTAGGAGCAAGGACGCTGCTAGGGGCTCCTGGCATCGCTACTAGTAACAAGGACGCTACTAGGGGCTCCTGGCCATACTACTAGGAACAATGCTCGCTACTAGGAGCAAAGGGACTCCAGACTCCACAAGTTTGCGATCAAGATTATATTCCATGGACCAAATCGTCCCCAGGCTGTGTGGGTTCTATCTGAATCAGGATGAAGTCACCAAAAACCGGTCCTCCTGACCCGGCACCATGGCAGACAAATGGTTGCACACACCTGGTCAGGTGCGATGGGGAACTTGCTTCAAAGTCAAAAGCAATCACCTCCAACCCACTCGCAAGAGGAACCTCATAGCGATGGCCTCCAACCTAAGAGCGATGGCCTCCAACCTAAAGGGTGGTTCTTTTTCTCTCCGGCAGGGACCATATGCTACTCCGCAGGGCCGACATTGCATGGGTTCCAAAGTAAGAAGGTCCTCTGTGACTTGGAGTGCTTCTTCAGCTGCCTCCCAAAAGCACTCCAAGTCACAGAGGACCTTCTTGCTTTTGGGAGTCAGCTGAAGCACTCCAAGTCACAAAGGATCTTCTCTTCGGTCGTCGGCTACTTCAGAGACTAAGTTGAACTTTGCCAGCCAAAACTTCCATAGCTGCTATCAGAACCTATAGTCTTTGTGAGATTGTCCAACCCCTGCCCAGCAACATTTGCCCTTCTCATCTCAGCACATTCGAAGGGGTGGTTACAATCCAAAGCAAACTCAGGTTATTCTTGGTACTGGAATGTCTTTCCGGTCCTCTTATAGGTTCAGAGAAGAACAGCAAAGAAGACCCAACATGACCCAACCACTTTGACAACCCAATCAAATCGGGCCGACTGAGTTCCACGACTCGGCCGAGCCAAGCACCTTCGTTGAGGCCCATCTTGTCACAAAGCCGGTAGACTGCCGCCAGGTCATCTCTCACCGCCGCTTCCGTCGCCATTCGTGGGCGTGGGCGTCGCGCGAAAAAAGGAGGAGCTGTGGTGAGGAACGGCACGGGTTTGAGCCGCTGTGCTGATAGCTGCCAAAGGGTCCAAGGTTGGGTCTTCGGCAGCGAAAGCGGGGTTCTCGGATGATGGGAGATGACCCAACGCACCCCCCCTCCGGTGCCAGTCCGCACGATCAAAAACACCTTGATGGGGAGTGGAGTGGAACTCCGGTTCCCACCCAAGAGAAGCTGCTGGCAAATCCATAGATCCGGCCAAATCCAGGCATCCCACCTCTTCACAGACCTTCAGCAGATTGATCTCTGCAGATCTCAGAAGTACGGGCGAACAGGGTCCGGTTTGGATCAGCGGCAAGTTGGAACACATGCCCAATTTTCGATCCTTTCAGCCTCAAGCCTTCCAATTTAGCACATCTTGTGGGCTTGCGGGATCTTGTGGGTGTTGCACCGTGAGAAAGTGAAAAACCCTAAACATGCATCGACAAAGCTTGAGAAGTGCATTGTCGAGAAAAAACAATCAATTTTGATAGACACTTGTGCTTTTGCCGAGTGAGTTGCTAGTGCTTTCAGCCGCCAAAATGGAACTTAGGTGGAGGGTTTGCTTGGCACCTTGGACCTCTGGCCGTGACCTCCCGAAGTCGGACATGGAAACAGTTCACCTCTGAACGAACACGAAGACTGAGTGGGAGATGGGCCAAGTAGTAATGAGATCTTGGTTCTTTCAATTTTGGTTGCAAGGACGCCCGGATATAGAACCTATTCACCTTAGATATGGCTCTTCTATCGCAATAAGCTGGCAACTGAACCAAATGGAGCTGGGCTTCGCTTGGGGGGCACCGACTCCAACTTCACTCGGCTGCCTTGGGTCTGCTCTACTCGCCTGCCAGATCTTTGGCGTTCTGCCCCGACGCGCGATTTGGCAGAAACAAGCATTTCACTGGTGCAGGCTGCGCGAAGCAAGAACATGAAAAAAAATCTAATGGCATGGTGCCCGCCTTGACATTTAGTATGCCAATCAAAGACACAAAAAATCCGACGGCTGCATTTTGATTGGCATACACCCGGTGTCCAAGTGAAGGGTGGAGTAGCCCATTGGGAAAACCAACGTGCCAAAACTCGTGTCACAACTCGCCAAGCCCACCTGATAAAACACATTCGAAAGAGCAGGTCGAATGTGTCCCACTCGATTTGAGCTGACGGTTTGCCTTCCCCACACGCTGATGCCTGAATGCAACCTGGTTGGTCTGGTGGTGGGATGTCGGGGCCTGGGAAAATCCGAGTTGCTGGCAAACAAACTTTCCGGGAGACCTTAACATTGGTCCAAGCCGTCCCCAATCAGTAGCAAAAAACAAGATCCCGCCCCCTGTGCCAATGCCAGGACCAGCTTGCGCTGATACAGTCAAACGGCCCTACAATAGCCCAGCACGATGCTATAATATGTAATGGCACGCCCTTCTGTGCCAGGAAGCCGCTTGTCTGGTCTGTGCCTTTGTGTGTAAAAGGTGGTAAAGCAGCAGGGGCCTTGGCATCAAGGGTTGTTACCGTGGGCAATTGTCACCCAGATGCTACTCCTTTGGGGGTCTGCAGTTATCCGCGCACAGGAAGATGTAGACATCGATTCGACAAATAGGGCTTGGCGTGGCGCGGCATTTGAGCTAACGCAATCCTGCGCGTTCACCTCAGTTGTTCTCTGCCGACGCTTGTGTCCATCTTCCTTCGATCCGGAGCGGCGGCACCACCGCATTGCAAATCGAGGATTTCCGAACGCTCAAGATGAAGGATGCTTTGGATCTGCGATAAAGGGAGTTAGAAAGAAACACATTTGTCACAAAGACCAGAAAGGTAAGGAACCAGCTCTTGACATCCACGAGCCCCCTGCCAGAACAGAATGATTGAGCTAAAGCTTCGAGATGCCCCAGGGCACCGGTGTCTTGCAGCTCTATCACCGCGTCTTGCCAGCATGTCGCATGTGCAAAGGCGCCTGTAGGCCAGCTCCAGCCTGGCCAGCAAGTCATCCACACCTGTGGCGACCGGCAGGGTCTCCCTCCTCTTTCGGGGGGTTGGGCATCATGATGTGCTGGTCCTGGTAAAGTTTTGAGGTTGATTGCTGGCATGGAGGGCACCCCTTGCTCTTCGTGTTCAAACGTCTCTTCTTCTCATTTGGCCCACTCAGGGTGCACAAAAGAGCAGCCACAGCAGTATATGTACAATTTGCATGTCCCAGCAACCAAGGTGGATGTTGCAATGTGTGTGTGTGTGACATGAAAGCCCTTTGGCAAACTGTGTGTCCCAAAGTAACCTGAGACATTTGTTGGGTTTGCATCTGTATACACTCTACAGTGGGCCCTGCGGCCCTATGGCCTATATGGCCTGTGGCATGGCATATGGTGTGTCCTTGAGACGAAGTTTGCCCTAGAAAATCACTTGAATGCATACTCTACTCAATTCATACTGTCACGCTGGTGCTACAAACCTTGCACAGAACTTCAACAACTTTTGAAAAACATATGGAAGTTCTGGTTTTGGTGATCTGGTGGTTTTGGGCCGGTAACGGACCACGTTCCGGACCCGGTACCAGATACTGTGTACCAGGTACCAGGTTCTCCACACTGAAATCCTGTGACACGACCAAGCAAACTTCAGACAAACTCTGGGACCGGATCGGAAACTGGACTGGAAATGTGACATCCAGTGTGACATGCAAATTTCTCTGTGTATACAAGCAGTTCCCGGGCAAGCCGGCGGCGGAAGTTTCCTATAAGAACAAATTGACCTATAGGAGTGTCCACGTTCTCTACAACATGCGCGTCCTCCAGTCAAACGCACGCGCTCCGGACTTTTGACCCACGGGATTCCACGTGTGTAAGGTGTGTGCCCCCTGCAGGATCAGCAGCTCACAACAGCATACTGGGTTGTATCTTTGCCACGACAAGATCAGCAGCCCACAACGGCGTGTTGAACCAACTGGGCATGTACAAGTGTATGTACTACAAAGTGGCCAGTCCTCAGCTTCCAGCTCCACAGGTTGTTCCGCGTGCTAAAGTTGTACTAGAAAGTCGCCAGTCAGTTCTCATCTTCCAGCTCCCCACCAGATGCTCCGCGTACTGCAGTTGTACTACACAGTCGCCAGTTCTCATCGTCCAGCTCGCCAGATACTCCGCGTACTAAAAATTGTACTACAAAGTCGCCAGTTCTCCTCTTCCAGCTCTACAGATTGCTCCGCGTACTAAAGTTGTACTAGAAAG